CCCCCCTCTAAAATCAATTCTCTCCTGGAGATCGTCTTCGTGAGCCTCTCATGATTTCAGGATAGTTGAAACCCTCTTGAACATTCAGAAAGAGTGAATATGAAATTCTAATCACGAAAGGTGTTCTGTGAAGCACGTCAATTCTCTCCTGGGGAGCGTCTTCGTGAGCCTCTTATGGTTTCAGGATAGTTCAAATCCTATGATGTTCCGATTCAATGCCCACCGATGATCTGAACCATGGGGCAAGTTTGTTTTCCTAAGAATCTTTTTGAACATTTCGAGAGCACATGTTTGAACATTTAAAGTGCATATGAACATATATGTACGAAAGGTCGCCTCCGAGGGGATAAATCACCATGTCGAACATTGCATTTTTGTTCCTGCCTCTCGCGTTCTCTTCTCTTCCCGCTGTCCTACCTTTCGTGTCTCCCTCCTCTCAAGTACGTTTACACCCAGGTGGGGGGTGTCTTCGTTGGCCGGAGACCCCCACCTGGCTCGGGCCCCCTACTATCTGTACAACGTCTTTTCCTTTGGAAAAGGCAGTGACACACACACACAAAACAAAAAAGCCGAGTCGGCGCTCTATTGACTAAGCGAGCCTAAAAGTTGACCTGACAAGCCTGCAGGGGTGTGGGGTGGGGTGGGGTGACCGGTTCGGGCCCGAAGGCACTTGACCAGAAAGCCGTAATCGGCGCATTACGCCGGAAAAGCCTTTAGAAACAAAGAAAGATTTAGAAAGCGAAGAGAACCTGAAGGAAGGAAAGCAAGACAGCAAAGTGAGTACTTAGCCGCGTGTCATGTAATTACTTAGCTGCATGGCCTGAATCCTATGAATACTTAGTGGCGTGGCATGTCATTCTGTGAAATTTGTCAGTGAGCCCTGCGACATGCAATCAGCAATCTCAAGCATGGTCAGCGAGAAGTCCGCTGAAACGAGAGTGTGTTCGGTAGTAAGCCCCCCTCTCTCACAAGCAGGGTCTATGGGATCACACAGCATACCGCAGCGGGAAGATGCTGCGACGCACACTTAGATCATTGCTCGCAAGAGCTAAATCAGTTTGGAAGTTCCACTCTAGTGATTACACTACCGGCTTGGAGCGCTAGGCAACCTGAAGCCGGAGAAACAGCCCTGAGAGGGAACGGGTGAATAGGTCCGAAACAATTTTGTTTGCATCACTTGATTTAAGAGTCAAAGGAAACCGACCAGATACGTTTGCGCTGGTGGGGGGTTTCTTCGTTGGCCAGAGACCCCCCCACGGCTCCGGCCCCCTGCTATCTGTACAACGTCTTTTCCTCTGGAACAGGAAATGACAGGCAAAATGACGAATCGGCGCTCTCTCTTTTTCTCCGTTTGGAATTCAAGAAATCATCAAATCTGAGTCTGGGTACTCTCGGCCTAGGCCACCTACGCTCGCTGCGAGCTGCTCTGTATCCGGGCAAGGGATACGTTCGACTAACGCCCGTTCGACGGGTCCACAGGGGCCACTCTTCGGGGTCACCCTGGGCTGGCATGAAGCCAGACGCACTTATAGAAATGCGCGCTGATGTGAATGCGATGCCACACGCCGGCCTAGGTTACCATTTCCTAAGGGTGCAAGTGCGGACCACTGGAGCCTGGAGGTCTTCAAAAGGAGAGAAGTCCAAAAACGCAAGTCGAAGTCGAACCGACAAATGACGGCGTATCGTGCATGACTGCCAAGGACCCCCTGCTCCAAATAAAACCAGAAGAAGCCAAAGCGCAATCCGACAGGATCCCTGTGATTTCAAGGGGGACACACACACACACGCCCCCCTGAGGAAAATACTAAGGTCAGGACGCATGTGCACGTGTGCGTGCGCGAAAGACAAAAGAATGAAGACATGACAAGAGGACGGAACGGGGCAAAGGTGTATGTGGTTGTGATGAAAGGGGAACCAAGTGCACAGGGACAAACAACGAAACCCACCTCATTAAAAAGACCTGGGCCACCTAAAACCTAGGTTTAAAGTACGCGCAGTGGTGCGCGTACTCGCTAAGCCCGTGCGCGCAAACGAAAGAAAGGATGAGATGAAAGACATGAAGACAGGAGGACGTGAAAGGAAAGAGGAGAAAAGATGTGTGTGAAGGGGAAAAGGACGACAGGGAAACCAAATGAAGGGGACAGAAACCAACGAAACCAGACCTCATTAAAACCACCTAGGTTGACCTTGCCTCGTTAAAGTGTGTGCGCTGTGTGTGCGCCCAAGAAGCCGGCAGGTTCAGACGAACTTCCAAAATGCTTCGGTCGCTCTGACCACGTTGAGGCGTTAAGCCAGCTTGGACCGCTGCGGTCACGCAGAGGCATGAGCCAGCTTGGAATTCAAGAAATCATCAAACCTGAGTACTCTCGGCCTAGGCCACCTACGCTCGCTGCGAGCTGCTCTGTATCCGGGCAAGGGATACGTTCGACTAACGCCCGTTCGACGGGTCCACAGGGGCCACTCTTCGGGGTCACCCTGGGCTGGCATGAAGCCAGACACACTTATAGGAATGCGTGCTGATGTGAATGCGGTGCCACACGCCGGCCTAGGTTACCATTTCCGAAGGGTGCAAGTACGGACCACTGGAGCCTGGAGGTGGTCTTCAAAAGGAGAGAAGTCCAAAAGCGCAAGTCGAAGTCGAACCGACGCATGATGGCGTATCGCGCATGACTGCCGAACTCATTAGACCTTTACGAAACACAAGAAGGGGACGCCTTCTCGCTTCACCAGTTGTGAGCCCGTCTTCGTTGGCCCAGGGCCAACTCACGGCTGCCTGGACCCCCTGCTCAAAATAAAGCCAGAAGAAGCCAAAGCGCAATCCGACAGGATCCCTGTCATTTCAAGGGGCGCGCGCACACACACACACACACTTCGGAAACGCGCGCTGAACATTGCTGAACTGAAGGCCACATGCCACACACCCACCTAGGTACGAAAGCCGAAGAAGTCAGGTGAGAGGCAAAACTTGAAAAGGTAAATGGAGTGGAGCCCAACCAGATCCAACTGTTCGAAAGGCTACAAGTCAACAGGCTACAACTCAAAGTGGCAAGGTTCGAAGGAATCGAGCGAGCGACGAACGCACACCTGCAGACCTGAATCATCCTGCAACAGCCTGAGGATTTCTACGATTGGAGAAAGGCTAAAACATTCACGAGCTGCAGGTACAGGAAGGTGATCAGCCTTCCCCTCCCATCCATGACTGTAGCCTCGTTGCGCACGGTGGGTCATGGATGCCATGTGCCTCTGCTAAACTGGAACTAAAAAGTCAAAGGTCACGAATCAACGGATTCCCTGTCATTGCAAGGGTTTCACACACACACACACACGCACGCTGAACAAACATTTTTTGGAACGCATGAAACACGTGTAAGAACATATGCACCCATCACCCATCATTTAAACTACACATCATACACATGCATGACGACACGGAACACCAGAACACAGAACACGGGCAAGCACCTTGCAGCAGCGCACGCTTAGAACATCGCGTTTCAACATGAAACTTGCAATCCGCACATGTTCTTAGTCCCGGGTTCTAAGTGTTACCACGCGTTCTGAACCAACATTCTAATGTCCTAAGGTCTGGACCTTAAAACATTATATATATATATATGTTTTCACCAAATTATGTTCCAAGTTGTTGTCTACCACTGTATTGCATTAAGTTGTTGAAACATGCAATCCCTGTGGAGGATTCCTCATGACTTCACCAATGCGCATGAAGAAGTTCGAAATGGTGGATCTGTGGGGCATAGCGGCGCGGTGATTCTGCACTTCTCAGGTTGTAGGGTAAAACCTTGGGATTTGCTGTTTGACGACTGCGACGCACTTCGGACGACCTCTGCAGAAGGCATTTTGCAGCTCTACCAAGAAGTCTGCAAAGAGGGCCCTAAAGATCGACTCAGAGGCTACAAGGATGAGGGCAGGACCCTCGACCAAAAACCGTCCAACACGCATCCCCTTTGTTTTGTTCAACTGTTTCGGCAAAGTTGAACGATGTTAAACGTATATTTTACATGTAGGAGGCCATCGCTATTAGGTTGGAGGCCATCGCTTCTAGGTGCAATTCTTTACATGTAAAACCATGCATTTGCAATTTATCCTTACAGCAATCTCGTATGCTCGAATTCAGGATCTGGGACGCCATGCTGGAATGGCTGGGTCAATTTCGAGATGTTTCGCAACGCCTTGTGAAGCAGCAAATCGACGTCATGCAATTGCTGGAGCAGGTGATCCTGCAGACCAGGGTGCAAAGCTCTCCCCGAGGCTCCACTCCGATGGAAGGATAAAAGTGGAAGGCGACAGAAGGTAGGTGCCAGACTTGGGTCACTTAGGTCATCACATGGATTTGTGCTCTCATCCTTCCACAACTCAGGTCGTGCCTGGCAGATGCTCGTGAGACGGCCTTTGGGAAGATCAAGGTGCGACGCAAATTGTGGAGAAATAAGGTGAAACCTTCAAACATTGGCATTAGCAAATGCAACCTTGAGAAGCCATTGAAAGGCATTCAACGGCAGCTTAGTTGCTAGATGTGAAAAGGTCGGAGCGAAGGTGGTGTCAGTTGAAGTCGTTTGTCAGATCGGTTGGTGCAAAGCGGTTTTACTAAATTCACAATTGGAGAGATCACGACAAGTAAATCTCTGCCTGCTTCTTGGTGCTTCAGTTGGTGGGTTGCAAAGAAAGAGATCCTGCAATTGCTTGGAATACTGTAGCCTGGAAACGTGAAGAGCTAAGATCTACAGCGTCTGGCCTGCGAGGTGATACTCAAAACAAATATTCTCAGGTTGGATACTGATCTCTTCCGTCTCTCATCCGCACCCAGTCCAAGAATCCAAAGAATTTGTTTGTTTAGAGTGAGGATACTGCAGATACCCCTAGCAATTGCAAGGAGTGCTAGACCCACGCTCAGCACAGTGTGCCTCGGAACTGCAGCATGACGGCTCCAAGCTGTGCACATGCACACTGCAGCATACTGCAGCATACTGCATCTACCATCTCAGTTGGCATTCTCTTTAGCTATTAGGTTGGAGGCCATTGCTATTAGGTTTCAGTTGGTCTGAGTTTGTCATCCAGACTTTGAGTCCGCTGGGAATGAACGGGCACAGTTCCTGTTGTCACCAGAGCTGATAGGGAGCCGCCGTTCATTCCGCCGTCCAGCGGTGAATTCGACCCACGATGGATCACTGGCTCGACCTGGAATCGGATGGTGAGATTGTGGACGAGGCCTAAGTCAACACGTTTGGTTTTGCAATCAAACTTTAACACATGAGGCCCAAGTCAAAGCAGTCAGTCCTTAGCATCGCTACTAGGTTGGAAGCCATCGCTATTAGGTTGGAGGCCATCGCTACAAGTAACAAGAAGCTACTGGTAATTTCTTGGCATGTGTTTTCTTTTCTGACTACTCATCACCTTGAGAAGTGACTCCAAGCACCCAGGTTTTGGCATATACGACTCCAGACTAGGTAGATATGTAGCTGGCCAGTAGAGTCTTTAGCTCAAATGGCCAAAGTTTGTGACACGTGAACTTCC